ACTGTGTGTATACCATGTTTTCTCTTCACTTTTTTCATAGGTTCTTCCATCTTAGTTCTGCTGGGCTCTTATATCATCTTTGCAGCCACTTCCTATTAACATGCATGCACTGCAGCAGGGGATGCATGTCATTGCTAAGGTTGCGCTCCCTGATGGTGATAATTGTGAAATATAGTGACAACAAACCAGGAGACTGGGACAGAGTTTTGTCAGCCGATAAGAAGTGACTGAACATAGACCTTGAAGTGCACCAGGCATTGTTTTACGGAAAGACGTACATTTGAAAAGCAATGAAAATAATGCATGTTAATGCAATTTCAAAAGTTAGCATGTTAAAAGAATATCATGGATTTCAGTGGTTGGTTTAGATCTTCATTAACCACTTGCTGTCCGGAGCAATTTCTTAATATTTGCCCCCACATGATAAAATCTGAATTTTGGGCTAGAAAACGGCTTACAACCCCCAAACAATTATATATTTTCTGAAAGCAGAGGCCCTGTAGAAAAAAAAATGCTAGTTGCAATTTGTTATGTCGCATAGTATTTGCGCAAATATCTATCAAACCAGTATTTTTAGGATAAAATACACTAAAATGGAATTCAGTGCACAGTAACAGAATATAATAGAAATTTTAGAAAAAACTACTTGTCCAAGGACTAAAGCGGGGGCCGGATCTACTTGTCCCTCATGACAATCTACTTGTCCCAACACAAAAAAAAATGTTTTAATCAAAACTAGGGATGCACAAGGGGCGTGGCCTGAACATGGCTGTGTGAGAACGTGCTTTCCTGGAGCTCTGCGCGGTCTCCTCTCGTCTCCAAACGTAATCAGCGGACTTTAACCCTCTCCCCGCATGTCCCACATTCACCGGCCCCGGAGCTCACCACCTCCGTCCACATCCAGTGGTATCCGACGTTATTTCGGCCACAGACAGCCAACGAGCCTGCAGGATCTCCCGTCCAAGATGGCACCCGGCCGTTACACAGCCGTAAGTAACACGCCGCACAAACGGCCAACGAACAGGCCGCCTCAGCCCCTGACCCCGCTCGGCAGACAAAACAGGCTACATCAGCTCCTGACACCTAGCGGGCGGATCGTGAGCTGTCTTCGATCCAGACCCCCAGGATGCCGCAGGCTGAATCTCCCATGAGATCGGGGCTATCAGCCATTACAGTTGCAGGCAGTGCAGACGGGGACAGCACGTGGCGGTGCCACACCACACTATGAGGGGGGGGGGGTCATGCATCTCCTTCCTTATCAAAGTTGTTTTGTTTGCACTGTTATTTGGATTGTCATCCTTAGTACTCACACGGTTTTCTGACCTACCCCCACATAGGGCTACCCCGTGCATTGTGCAACGGGTAGATACATTTGTTGACCTTGCCCGTACCGGTAGTCCGGTCGGGTTGCAATCACCAACTGGTGCATTGCTACCATACCTGCTATTCTTCTCTTGCCTGCTCTTCACTCCACTTTTACCTTGCTACGGTCTAATTCTTTCTTGCGGCTTTTTCCCCCCCTCTCCCTATCTTCCCACCTGGGCTGCTCCCCGTGCCTCCCCCTGCTATAATGGCGGACACAGTTTTCACGTCCCTGAATGCAAAGGGGTTAACTGGCAGACCTAAGGAAGACTATGTCCCAAATTGTGTTCGTTCAGGAAACACATTTCAAAAAAGATCAGATCCCCAGGTTGGGCAATAGGGATTATCACTCTGTATATCACTGCCCCTCTCCAGTCTCAAAGACCAAGCGTGTATCTACTCTTATTGCTAGGACCGTCTCATGGGCTTATACCGATCAGTACGTGGACCCTAATGGGAGGTTCCTGCTCCTGAAGGGAGCAATAGTTGGCGTGTCAGTGACCCTAGCGAATGTGTACTTCCCAAACGCAGATCAATAGGGGTTCATCAGCACGCTGGTCCAGGTCCTCTTGGAATTCTCGGACAGCACTCTGGTACTCGGAGGGGACTTCAATTTTGCAATGGACCCGCTGGTGGATGTCTCTAGGGGCACTTCCCATCTGGCCTATTCATATTTGAAGAAATTGAAGTCCGAACTCCATCTCCTACACCTGACGGACACCTGGAGGTTTATGCACCCAGGGGACAGGGATTACACCTTTTTCTCGCAAGTCCACCAAACCTATTCCAGGATAGATTACTTTTTTGTCGAACATAAGGTACTACCCCACGTGTGCTCGGCTACAATTGACAGTATTCTTTTATCTGACCATGCCCCCATACACGTCTCTATCCTTGACAGCACCTGTCTCTCCATGCTATATGTGGCGTCTAAACGAATCGTTGTTGCAGGATATCCAAGTCACGACAGAACTGGAGGCGGAACTTTCCTCCTTCTTTACTAGTAACGTTCCCTCTTCCCCCTCACCTATGGTCACCTGGGAGGCCCACAAGTGTGTTAACCACTTACAGGCGCTCGCTCACACGCCACCTGTTAGACGCAGCCAGGGCATCCATCCCTCTGTTGTGGAAACAACCCCACCCCCTATCGATCGCATTATGGTTGTCCAAAGTGCGGGGGGGTATATGCCATGGAAGACTTGACGGCCACCCTCAGGAACACGGAGAAGCAGTTTTTGTCCACCTGGGGGGCTTGGATCTACTTCCAGCACTCCGACCGCTATGCAGCTCTCCTGTCTGGAGACGCGCAAGCAAATACTCCTCAGGGATGTAGTGAACGATATCTTACCGGCTCCCTGTAGCAGACCTAGGGGATTTCTCTCCTGGGGGGGTGGGGAAGCGGTCTGGGTACCTTTCTCTTTCCTCTGTCCCCCTCTACAACCTCAAACTTGTTCCCGTAAGGGAATCCTGCACTTATATGACTTTGCCTTTCTTTGTCTGTTCTCTCTTCCTCTCGCATATCTTTTCTCATGATAATTGCAAAGATACCAAGAATTGGTCCGGCACTATTGCTGGACACACAAACTCACCTTTACTTTATATACCTGACACTGCCAAGGGACATACTCCACTGTACAATCTTGCTATTGTTATTGCAGTCACTTGTCCTATTGCGTGTCGGGGCCTGAAGGTACAGACCCTATGCGGTAGTCACGGCTCTGGGAATATTCCAAGAATGTAAAGAGTGTAGTTGTATGTTATGTCTCCCTATACTACTTTCTGCAATACGTGTATATTTTACTTGTTCAGACAAAAAACTACTTTAATGTTACTTTAAGATCTTCAGTACATGGGTAGAAGAAAATGTCCTACTCACAGCTTATTAAGCATACACACATGAGAGCAATAAGATGAAAAAAATTAAATTGCACAAAACCTAAAATTGTTTTAAGTAGGGATGCACCGTTATATCGGCCGCCGAAACATATCGGCCGAAAATGGCACTTTTGGCTAAATGCTGAAAGTGCCATTTTCCTGCCGATACACCCGTGCTCTCTTTCCTCCCTACAGGGCGCTGCTCTGTGTCCCAGCGGGGAGGAAAGTGTCAAAGGCGGCCAAGCGCTGTGAGCGGCATCTCTCCTCCCACACCACTCAGCCTCCTATCACAGTCCGGCAGAGCGGTGTGCGGGCGAAGACAGCCAGTGCTGTCACAGGAGGCTGAGCTCTCCTCCCTGCACCACCCGCTCAGCCTCCTGTGACAGCGTATCAGAGAGGAGAGCAAGGTACAAACACTCAGCGATCAGTGATCGATGAGTGTTTTATAGATAATTGAGGACATGGTATGTTTACTATATCTTCAATTATGAATGAATGGGAAGTGATGTACATCACCTCCTGTTCATTCATAGTTGTAGGTATAGTAAACACACAATGTTCTCAAGTTATGAATGAACAGGAACACTCAGAGGATTCCTGTTAATTGAGAACAGGGGATACAGAAAAAGAGATTGAGGACTTTGAGGACACAATCTCTTTTTCTATCTTAAAAGGGAAATATCAGGGGTCTGGTTTAGACCCCTAATATTTCCCCCAGAAGCAACTAAAAGTAAAGTAAAAAATAATTAAAAAATACAAAAATTAAAAAGTTTATAAAAACAAATAAAACATTAAAAAAATGTGCAAAAAATTAAAATAAAAAACATTTTCGGTCTGACAATTTTTGTTATTTCGGTTTTGAAATTTCCATTTTGTTGCACCTCTAGTTTTAAGTAATAAATGTAATTAAAGGCTAAGTTCACCTTTTCACAAAATTTGAAAAAATTAACTTACTCACAGCACCTCCCTTGCTCCATGCTGCACTAACCTGTGTGATACCCCTTCAAGCTGGTGTAGCAGTCCAAACACTATACTTCAGAGCCCTGTAAAGATCATAATGCTCACAACACTCACTGATAAGCATGGTCACATGACTTATCTTACTTCTGGACCCCAGCTCAGAAGGACTTGTCAGTATGGTCATGTGACTATGTTGACCAATGAGAACTCGCCATTTGCAAGCATTATGATCATTACAGACTGTGGGACTATGAAGTGCAGTGTACGCACTGCAACATCACCTAGCGGAGGCATCACACATATATTTTATATATGGAAGTGGTGCAAGTAGCTGAATTTGACCTGGTATCAGCCATTTCTACACAGCAGAGCTAATGTGTTTAATAGAAGCATCACACGAAGCTAATAAGTTCAAGTGCTGACAAGAAGCATTCTGATAGGAGAAATCACAGTGACACAGTGGCATCCATACACAGGCTGGGGACGGATCCAGGATGACCCCAGCTCAGAGGAAGTGGGCTGAATGATGCTGCCCAATAGAATGAGGCATCTAGCAGCACAAAAAAAGAAAAGCACTGCAGTGGAAATTTTTGTTTTGACGGTAAATAATATACAAAATGTATTTTATCATTCAATGGGCAATTCATTTTTATATTTTTAATTTTGGCTGGAGTTCTGCTTTATCATAAACTTTTGATAGTTGTGTCTGTAAAACAATTGATTATATTTTGTAACTCACTCATAATGTTATAATTTCCAATATACAAGATGAAAAAAAAAAAACAAATCACTGACAAACCAACCTGCTCCAGTCGACAACCCCGTGAAGGCAGACTGACTGTGACTCTCAGAAACTGTTTTTGGCAGTTGAAGGTAAGCAGCTTCCAGGGCTCCTGACGTCAGGATGGAAGTAGAAAATCCATGATGAGGATGGTATTCAGCTTTTACTTTTCTTTAAACTTCAGTTTACAGTTCATCGGTTAAAGATTGAAATGCACAGAGGAGAAATCCACCAACTTCTTAAGCTTGCTTTAGGATAAATAAAGTATTACAGAAAGTCTTCAAATACACCGTGTGCTTCCATTTAGTCATGTATCCCTCAGGCTTTCCTCAGGTGTAGAAGGTAGGAAACCTAAGTCAGGTCTATCATGAGCCTTGGATCATTTACCCGGTATGAGCTGGAAGATGGTAACCTGTTGAGAAAGGATATTGAATGTTGAGATGAAACGTTACCAGAAGTACTATGTTTACCTCAGCAAAATTTTAAAAAGCCAAACAGCACAAATGTATCAGTTCTTTTTATTGACACACAAATCAATGGGATATATATGCATAGAAAAACAGAGGTCTGTATGTAATGGGGCGAGACTGGACAGATCCCAGTCACCAGGACATCCCCAGCCCAGGGCTGGGAAAATATGTGAAGATACCAGTAAATGATCGGCAATTAGAAGCACCTATAACAACTGACTTGGTCGTAGGTTTTGCAAACACTGAATTTCTTCCACAATTTCATTACGCTTGTGCACTATAGTTGTTTTTCATCTATATGACCCATTGTGCTGTGTGTAGTTCTCCATCTCCAAGCACCAGCAGAGCACTTCATTTTTACAAACCCCTGAAAATGTTTAAAGTGATATTAAAGTCAAAAGGTTTTTAATCTATTTCAAATGTTGATTAAATCACTTACAATGGAAGCTGCTTCTTGATGTTTGAAGAACTACAGGCATGTAAAAAATAAACCCATGCAGTGGAGCTATCCCCATACTGCAAGAGTTAACGTCTCGTGTTGGTCTAGCATCTAAAATCAGAAAGATATACTCACCCGATGCCTTATCTTGCTTGGCTGTTAGACCGGTTCCTGCAGCCTCTTCTTCCCTGGGCTCCGGCGGTCTAAAAATACGTGATGTCATCACGTCCACTGACTTAAATGCCTAGAGTTCGTCTTTAAAAGTTTTTTGTTTCCTGCAGAATCATCTGGTCCCCTGAGCACTGGCCCTGATATCCCTTTTTAGGTGGATCCTTTCTCTTGCAGGGTCCTACGGAACCACCGTTGTGGGTGCTAGTAAGTCGCGTGTCTCCACAAATGCACAGGCATAGGGCAAGCCACTCCCCTGCTCTCCTCTCTTCCTTCTGACAGTGGCATATTGTTGTGGCAGCGCATTGCAGCCAGGAGGTGCGTTGGGGTGCCATTCAAATGAACAATGCAGGCACCTGCCACACTGTAATGTACAGTTGGTGCAGTGCACAATAGCATGCGTTATTCACACAGAACTGTGCGATTAACATGACGCAGCGATGTGAACAGGCCCTTAATCAGCATCTGAAATAGCTTATAAACATTTTGACTTTATCACTTGAAGATAAAGCAATTGAACACAACATTCCACAACTGAACTGTTCAAATGAGGGTTATGTGGGTGAATTTGTATGAAAAACATGACTCGGTGTAACACCAGTCATAGACACTAGTAATCACACAGATGATGTACCATCGAGCTTCCTCCTTTGTCAATACCTGCCAATTGATTGACAATTAGATTTGTATGATTATTCCTTAAGTGGCATTAAGACGAAGATGAGGCATGTTAGATGGGAATGAAAGTCATACAGTAAGACAATTTTCTACAACTCTGCAAATGGGACAAAAAGTCTCTACCATGAAGAGGAATCAAAAGACCTTTTCTAATCAATGTGAAAGTCGCTACACTGGAACTTCCATTCCAGCATGACGCTTTTACTGATTTTATTCACTTCATTCAAATGTGTCCACAGATTATTACTGAGTCAGAGTAAATGAGAAAAAAAAAAGTTATTCCATTTTCACAATGCATACTTTTCTGCTATGCTTACAAGTAAGTCAGAACAAGAAGAGCAACAGATGGTGATGTGGTTGAGTTCAGCTGGTGTTTTCAGAGGGTGTGTGATTCTGTGTTTTGAGGGTGTGCATTAATACCAACTCTGAAGTGAACATTGTCACAGCAAATAAAAACAACAAACCAATTATCTACCACTGCCACCCATTAACCCAATGGATACCATTCATCGTGCCACAACATTACCAAGGAGCAGCACACTTATTCTTAAAGACAAAGCCTATGACCTTAAAACAATCCGAATCTAATGATTCGAACTTACAAACACTATGACAAACCATGCTTATAAGCATACAGCAATTGACTTCCTGCCACAAGCCACAAATAGTATCCATAGCACTGCAACATGGAAACACACCAGCTGAATCAGAACTCATAGTTACCAGTCTTCATTTTTTTTATGTATTAGTGAATAGAAGCTTAGTGCGTTAATATTAGGTTTCATTTACACCAAGGCGTTAGCTTTTTTTGCGCATGTTTTTTCTAGAGTTTCATCTAGTGTGTTTAGCCCATTTTGCAAATGTTTTATTTCATTGAAATACATTGCAGTGAATGGACACAATGCATGCAAAAACACTAGGGATGCACCGATACCGATACTAGTATTGGTACCGATACCAAGTATTTGGGCGAGTACTCATACTCGCCCAAATGCTCCGATGCCTAGCCAGTTATTACACGCTGCCCGGCTTCCTGATTGTCCGGGAAGCTGGCTCCATGCTTCCTCATCACTTGTGACAAGGGAGCAGGAAGCCAGCTTCCCGGCCAATCAGGAAGGCCCCATTCACACTGCACGATTTGCAAATCTCGCGTTTGTCGTGCGATTTGCACTTTGCGCGATATCGCGCAAATGCTTGCATTGCAAAGAATGGAATTGCGGCAAAATCGGCTCCAAAAAGGGTCCTGCTGTAGCGACGCACGACCCGCGACAGCAGGACCCTTTGCCTTGCATTGGAGAGCGATATCGCGCGGTAAATAGCCGCGATATCGCGGGAATTACCGCGCGATAAAATCGCTCAATGTGAACAGGCATAGTGTAATGACTCGCTGCCCGGCTTTCTGATTCGTCAGGAAGCCGGGCACCGTGTATTGACGCAGCGCCCGGCTTCATGCTCCCTTGTCACCTCATGACGAGAGAGCATGGAGCCGGCCTCCCAGACAATCAGTAAGCGTTTTAAGCGTCGCCTAGGGCCAGTTTTCAGTGTGGTCGTATTTTGCAATTTTGCGGGCAAGCACTATTTTAAGGCTTGATATGTTTGGTGTCTATTTACCTGTCGTGACCCTGACTTTTATGTTTTACCAAAAATATGGGTAAGAAGAGATGTTTTATAATATATCGTAGGGAAACTGTTTTTTCCAAAATTGACGGTACTTTTTTCATTATATAGTAAAAAATAAACCCCCTAGTGGTGATTTTAAGAAAACCTCCAAAAGAAAGCTTTATGTCCCCCCAAAAAAATGTTAACATAAATTGCAAGGTTACTTAAATGGGGAAAAGGGAGAATGGGTAGAAACGGTGTTTAAAAGGAGAGTGCCACACCCCTGGTTTTATATTGCAAAAAGAGGGTATTTTGGAGATTGGGGTTTTTTAGGCACTCGAGACAATAGTTTAATATAAAAATTAGAACGTTTATTCAATACATGATTAAAAAGACGAGTTCATATTTATAAAAAAGAGAGAAAGCCGATTCAAGGAGAACACCAACAAGCTCCACCAGAATCCTGAATTATGACTAATTGTAGTCACATAAATATATTATTAAATTCATGCAAACAGATTTTTAATTGTAGGTCGCACCCCCTACATTCTGGTTGGCATATCCTAGTTGACTAGACAGCCGAGAAGTTTAATCATAGTATTTGACATCGAATCAAGATGGAACAAAGGATATTATTGGGTGTATGCGACCATCCATTACCTCTAATTGTATTTGGTATGGCCCTTGGAAAAAGGTGATTGTTAGATACAGTTGGTTCAAGGTTGCTATCCTAACAATGGTTTATAGTCTCTTTGTCGAGTCAAATGGCCATGTCAACCATTAACAGTCACTAGTGCGTTGCTGCATATCATATTGTATACAAAGTCTCAAAGAGAGGTATAATCTCGCAGTTTTTTTAAATATATTTGAAGAAATTTTGAGAGTTTTTTCAACACGTTTTTTTTAAACTATTGTCTCGAGTGCCTAAAAAACCCCCAAATCTCCAAAAAACCCTCTTTTTGCAACATAAATTGCAAGGCTATAGTTTGGACTGGTGACATTTTTGACTGACTGGTGAGACACCCTAAAATTTTTCAAACCCTGAATTTATACCATTTTGGGTTTAGGATACGCCCATTGCTAGAGAAAGGAGCAAGTCAAGAGGACCTGTGATGTCCTGACTAAAAAAATCCTTTGCAAAAAGTATGCTTTTTTTTTTCAATGACAGTTGAGGGTCTGAGAAGGAGGGGAGGATCTCAATCTTGGACTTGGGCTTTAGAGGTCAAGTTCACCTTTTGAGTAAAATAGAAAAAAAGCAGATTAGAAGTTAAATTAAAATACACTGTGCAGTTTCATAAAATGCTGCCTAGTGTAGCTGGCATAACAGTCGGCCCTTTAGGTCACTCCTGCATGTTTATCAGCCTATTCCTAATAGTTTCAATTAAAGAAAACCTGTTAGTTGAATTGCTTCAGCTCAGATTATACAAACAAATGAATAAATCAGAAAATCAACTCATCTTCACCTTCTACCCTGCTCTGTATGGAGTTTGTTAGTCCTTGTTCACTCCTAGGCGTTTTGACGCTCAAAGATAAGCACGTCAAAACTCTAAACAAAGCTGTAAAAGGCGGAATGCTGCAAAACTGTTTAGCTTTTTTTTGGGCCGTTTACAGCACAATTGGCACCATAGACTTCAATGGGAACTCGCGACACAAGCATTTTGCATGCTTCTGTGTTAATGCACAAGTTTCGTCTATTCACTGCTTTATATTTCAATCTACTCTCAAAAACGCAATTCTTCATGTGACTTCATCTAACGTGCAAAAAAAAAAAAAGCAAAAACACACTAAACAGGCTAGATTAAACGTGCGCTCATATGCGCGAATACGCTAATGCCTAGGTGTGAATGCAAAAGA